TTTTGAGAAATAAGGTGACTGATACCCCAGTTATGCTATGGCTGGCATCTGAGCACATACACTACATGGCAAGGACAGTTGCAGGTGTGGGTGCTGGAGCGGGGTAGGGATGTCACAAGGACATCCCGTCTTGGCTTCCATTTGCCTCCTTTATCTCCTCCTAGAGGACGGAAGGAGAAGTCAGGTTCACTATATTAACAGGTATTTGGAAATGGCCGTTGATGTGAAGGGCATTCCAGCCCCTGGCTGAATGGGGCGGGGGGGGGGGGGGCGTGTGGAGGGGGCCCTCATTGGGAGTTCAAAGTTCCACTCGTGGAATATCCTAAAATGTCAATAAAAGACTCTTTATTCATAAATAACTGATACGCAGTAATTTATGTCTGTACATTTATCTTGAAAAGTCTGTAACCATCCAATTTTTTTTGCAAACTCTACATAAAACATCCAAACCGTCCATTTTGTTCAATACAATATAACACAGCTGTTTGGCATTACCAAATATATATGTATATATATTTATAGATATATACATGTGCTGAAAAAGAAGCCAGTGCAGCCTTTGCTAAGAAGTCCATCCAAGTATTTACTGTACAACATTCAGAATTTACATTGATAATACAAGGCACAAAAAGTGTGGTATGAAGCCAAGGCCATGCTTTATTCAAACTCTCTCCTCTGGCTTGTTCACTCCTTCAGCTTCATGTCAAATTAAGTGTTCAGTTCTGCTTTTTTTTTTTTTTCTTTTCGGCTTTGAACACATCAAATGAAAGTTGAAAGTGGAATGGGTTTGAGATATGAGTCACTTGAAAGAACCACCCTCCCCACCCCCGCACGCGCACTTTCTCAAAATAAATAGAACAAAATGAAATGTTTTGAAGTTCTTCCATACAGAAATGGAGGTCAACAATTCCTCCTTGTTTTTTTTTGTCTTTTTTGAGTTTGCTTCGGGAGAATTAGCCAGTTTTTTCTGCTGTTTATATTTAACTTGCTGTAGTTCTAAGGGAGACTTCCTGGACTGCCTGCACCCACGAGCTATCCTTCTGAAGGATGGGGAATGCTAAGTCAGTCTTTATTCCAGCTGAAGAACAGAGAAAGCTGTTTTCCTGACCAGGAAAGTCCCACAGGTGGACTTTCCCCCACCTTCTTATACAGAAGTTTTGAATGGGAGGGCCGGTCCCGGACCCGCCTTGGAAAGTGTTTCTGATTGAAATGTTTTAGTCACCCTCTGACGAGGCTCAAATGGAAACCCCTGGGAAGGGGCGCCCCCCACCTTCAGCATCCCCAGAGCTCGCAAATGGAGGGGTGTAAGAATTATTAGGTCCATTTCTGATGTAACGTCCATTTCAGTAACAGGGTCATCAGGCATGACACTCTGCTTACAAACTCCCCTCCAATAGCACATTTCCTTTTCATGATTCAACAGAACCACAGTCAAGTTGCTACCTACCCCGATGTATCCAATTTTAAAGGAGTCGTATAATTTGTCCAATTTTGGAATTTGGATGTAAATCATGCTTGAGAGAGTAAAATACTTTGGGGGGTCAGGGCAATCTGAAGCCAAAGGACATTTTCACTGTAATCATGCCTTTCGTAAAAGTATTTAACACCCATTTCCATTCATGCAAAGAACTACGTTACCAAATTCAGTGATACAGTTTATAATTCAGCTTTTTGGGGGGAAAAAATGCCCCTGCCGGACTCAATATTAGGGGCGGGGGTGAGGGAGAGAAATTTTAAGCTTAGGCTTAAACATGAAGCTTACTGCCTTTTCTGTCTTTGGGTTCAGATGGCGGGTGGGTTCTAAGACATGGAGTTCAATGTTACTGTCTTCAGCCCGCCTGGTGGGAACATTCCAAATCCATGATCTTTCACAGCAAAAGGAAAAATCAAAGTAGCTGCTTCAAAAACCACAATTATTCTATGTGAGTTAAATTTCCTACTTCAGATCACGGCACTACACACTAGTGACTAACGGCCAGGTCTGATTTCCATCCCCGTTTTCTCTTATGCAAAAAAAAAAAAAAAAAAACCCAGCACACAAACTGCCACGTTGGTTTTGCGGAAGACCCTGGAGTGGGGATGTGAGGAGTCCGTGGGAGACACTGGCTCTCCTAGAACTGCTTTTGCAAAAAACACCACATGCTGTCAATACAGCCAAACAGCGTTATAACTGCAGCTTTTGAAAAGATTTCGGAAAGTAAAAACACAAAATATGCAACACATCTAAGATTCGTAACATTTTCACTTTGTGACATTTGACAAAATACATTTTTGCTTGTAGTTCAGGAAAATTCTATGCAGACGAAACAGTGGAAACGGCAGAAACGGTGGCCACTCAGCGTTTGGCTCAAGTATCGATTTGTTTTCAAATACAGCGCTGTGGCAACTAACACCAAAGGACTAATAAAACTCGCCACTTTCTGCAGGACACTATTTGGCTCTCCCATTCGCCGTGGATGTCACCTCTAGTCCAGTCAGTGGGAGTCGCTAAGGATTCAGAACTCTGCCATGTTTCATGAGGAAAATTAATGAAAATGGGCCACATGACGGGCCAGAAAAGCACGTTTCTCAGCTCCTTCCTGGTTCCTGTGACCTTCCTGGACCTCTGAGAGAACTTCACCTTCAACACATCTGATCGCTGTGTTACTCAACACCTTTACAGACGGACTAAGAAACCGAAGAGAAAGTGGCAAAAAAGGAAAACCAGAAGCACACCAAAGGGGATTACAGCATTTGAAATTGACAGGTAGACTGACCAGAGGGTTGGCCAGTGGAGGATGCCAACGTCAACCAATTACGTTATTTTCCTAGTCTGCCTTCCCTTATCAACTCCGATGTGGAGACTTTCAGTCCAGGGAAACAGCTGCAATAAATCCGGAATTTTTAATCCAAAGAGAACCCGGTTTTAGTGATTTGACTTAATATCCCCTTCTCAAAGTCACCTAACTGAAAGAAAAACAGAGGGGCCGTGGCAAAGGAGAACACCTGCAGTCGGAGATAAACATTTTTTAAAAAGTGCGCCTGTGTAAAGAGAACTGTCAATTCCTACTCATCTCTTAGGAAAAGGCCAGTAACGTTCTTTGTGGGCGGACATCTGAGTTTTATGGGACTTTCTGCATCGGTAAATGAAGTTTGTATTTAAATCCACAGAGTGAGCTTCCTTTTGGCTTAAAGAATTTTAATGTAAATCAGTAAGACTGCACAAGCAACGCTGTAAAAACCGTAAATTACCTTTATGATGCTGCCGGCCGGGGAAGCTGTGACGTGCACCATTTTTGGTGGCGTAATTTGAAGTCATGTTTAAAGCAGGACTATTAAACTTAAAGGCTTTTTTGAAGACCGAAAGATCTGGCATTCAGTGGGATATTTTGTAAAAAAAATTTTAAGTAACCTTCCAAGTATTAGAGGCCACTTTTAATGTTGCATTTTGCACCAGGACAGGAAGACATCTAAAGCAAGTGTGTAGACTGATGAATGAATCCCTTTCAAGAGGGCTGTTTGAGTTGTGATAGAGAAATACTAAAACAGAACAAAGGTTTAGGTTGCCATGAGTAACCGCAAGTCCAAGGGCTAGGTCCTCAGTCCATCTGATCTGCAGTTTCATACTCCCTGCCACACACACACACCCCCACCTTGGTCTGTAAATCTCAAAAACATGGGTTCTCTTTGGAATTCTACATGCAATGACCACAGAATTTCATACTGGAGAAAATCTGCAAAAATCCTATGTAGGACCCTAGCAGAAATAAGTCAGAGAGAAATGTAAGGAGGGAACAAAATGGAGTGAAAGATGGACTTTTGAACCTTGGGCTGAAATCCGAGATGAATCATGTTCATTTGCTTTCTTTATCCCTCAATATGATAGGATGATCAAGTGTATTTATAAAACCCAGGCGAAAAAAAAGAAAAAAAAAGTCCATGGGAAGAAATTCTAGACATTCAGGGATAATAAATTCCTATCTTAAAATAATCTAGATAGAGTCCAGGGAAAACATTAATATTTTTCATCTGTTTTAAAATATAAAAAATATATCAAAAATCTAAAAAAGATCCGTGAGGATTCACAGAGTAGATGAAACAATTATAAGGCCAATTAGAAGGGAAGAGGGAAAAAGGGCAGCAGGATGGTTGAAAACAAAAATCCTCCAAGATGGCTACTAAGCTCTACACCGTGTTTTTCCAAGTTCTTACTCAACAGTCAACGCAGGTCTTTTCCTTGTATAACACCCGCCCCCAACACCCCTCTAGCTGGTTTTGGGTGACTGACCATCTACTTCCTCTTCTATCTCAGAGGTTATGTCAGGGACAACTCCCCTGCTTTCTCTCTTTGCTCCCTAGAAGGAATAAACAAATTGAGCACAGGAGCAAAAGGGTGTTTTCCTGATCTGGATATGGTATTTTGAAAGTATGCTCAACAGTTCTAAGAGGATTC